GGTGCTTTTCAGGCATATAGATATCCCTGTTCACATGTAATAGCAGCTTGTGCACATATTCGTATAGATCCATTAACTTATGTAGATGTTGCATATACTAACGAATACATCAAAGCGACATATTCAAGACAATGGTATCCACTAGGAAGTGATGAAAATATTGAACCTAAAAATGGACCTCGCATAATCCTAAATGAGACCATGTTGCGTGCAAAGGGACGCCCTAAATCCACCTGCATTAGAAATGAAATGGATTGGACTGAATCCCAACGAAGACAACGTTGTGGACATTGTAAGGGTGAAGGACATAATAGAACTAATTGTCCTAAGCTGGCTAAAGAACTTGTTAATAACTCATGAAATGTTGATGTTTGAGTTTAGTTTTTAATTTGTTACCATGTGTTACTTCATTTTTAAATGTTGTGGTAAGCTATTGTGATATTTCATAATCATATTTTATTTGTGCTTCAACTCCAATCTTCATTTATACAATGTTTATTACATTCACATTTTCTAGGCAAATCCCAACGTCTAAACATGTGAACAATGTCTATACTAGTTTTTATATAATATTAAATTCAAACAAATTCTTCGACCAAATCTCAACATGTTTTTCGGCTTTAACCAAGTACTCCATTAGCATAACAACTGTAAAAATAAATAAATAAATAAATAAATAAAAAACACATGCATGTTATAACATACATTGTGTTAAAGTAAAAAAAATGCAATTATGTTAATGTAGTAAAATGAGAGTATATTATATTAACAACTTATTAAATCATTACCTATTGATTTTTTCATATGTGTTGGTCATGGAGACTTAGTATATATTGTTTTTGTCTATGGCGAGCACCACGGTTTGGGTTCCTCCGAACAACCTCATCATCATCTCCCTCATCTCTTATGGGATTTGCAGCTTCAACTTCAAATGTTGTATTAAGATCAAGGCCTAAACCAGGATGCTGGGAAGAGGTACCCTCACCAAAAACTCCGTCTGTCCCAAATACAGGCTGTCCAAATTGATAATCTCAATAATCCATCAAAGGTGTAGATGGAGAGATCATGTCTCCAACATATGGACTAGGTGTAAAGTGGGACATACTCGGAGGCGGCATACTAGGGACATACTCCATCGGCATCGATGTGGGCATATAAGGTGAACTAAACGATGAGGGTGTTTGAAACCCAAAACCAGTTGAACCACTGATATCACCAACAGACGTGTCATGTGACTACCATACACATACTATGTGATATCTTCATACGGGGTTAATGTCATCGAATAATATGTCCTCGCAGGCAACTCACTCGGAGGAACTAGCATCTCTAAACCATGGTGATCAACTCTCCTTCGCCGACGACTTAACCCTCTTCCTTCTCGTCGACTTGCCCCAATGTGCTCCAGTTCAACTGGATCTGCTTGTGGTAATGTTGCAAGTGGAGCCAGTGTAGAAGGAAACATTACCTTACTCACCTCGTCCTGTAGTCGTAAGCACTAGCCGACACTCTCATGCATCACCGTAAAATCAAAAGAGTGTCGATGTTCTTCACTTGTATCATGATACACGTGCTCCAAAACATCGGTCTAAAAAGCACACAACAACTATAATCAGAAAAATTAATTTATTAAAAATTCGAAAGTAAATTGTTATATACATGGCAAAAGTTGTACCCACCACATATCCTTTCCTTGCACTTGAAGAAGAAATCCATCGTCTCGTATGCTTCCTAAACCACACCATGTATTTTGAGTTATTGCTTAAGTGTGGTGTATCAAACGCCCGTTGTGTCCATACGCAGCCAAATCGATCGAGATTGCCACTCCGGCACAAATTGACTATGCATTACTAACCAGTCCGTGTTATCCTTGCCTCGTAATGAAAGTTCATGCAATTTCTCTAGATGAATAAGAGGCGCAGGAATGTGTTGGAACATACCAAATTGTCGCATGATGTAACAACCCAATTTTCACTAGGCCGTGGGCCCAATTCGTTGCCCGGAACGGGCCGTTTCAAAAGTGAAACGGGCCGTTCCGGAATAAAGAATTTGCCTAAAAAACGTAGTTGAGAATGGGCCATTTCGGTTGGAGAACGAGCCGTTTCGGTTGGAGAACGGGCTGTTCTGGTTTGGAAAACGGGCTGTTCTGGAAGTGGCACGGGTCGTTCTGCTGTTATTGAGAACAGGCCGTTCCGGTTTTGGAACGGGTCGTTCCAGTTGAGATTTTTGCGTAGTTCTGGAGGGTCCAAAACGGCCGTTCCACTTTTGGAACGGGCCGTTCCAGGTTAGTGAGGCAGATTCCTATAAATAGGAGGCCTCGCCTCTCATTTTCACACATCTCTCATTCTCTCTTCCTATTATCTTCTGTTCTCTCTTCTTTCCCTCTTCTCCTCTCTGAAGACCAAAGGGCATTTAGAGGAGGAGACCAAGAGATTCCTGTTTTAGTTCAACTACTGTTTATCCAGGTACGGGGGGAAATGGAATTATTTATATGTAGAGCTACATGAGGGAACTGGGTAGAGGAAGAACCCTTAAGATTATGAGTAATTTTATAATTATTTCTGTTTGGATAATTATTAGTCTTATTTGATTCTGTATGAATTTAGGAGTATGAATATATAATTAATTGGTAAAAATGATGCTCTGGGAGAGAGAACGAAATTATAGAAAAGTGTTTGTAAGTTAGGTTGTGAAAAATTGGATGATTTCTGTTTGAGGAATTGATGATCGATTCTGTATGTGTTGAGGATTATAAATATGCCAATAATTTGTAAGAATGATGTTCTGGGAGAGAGAATGAAATTGTAGAAAAGTGTCTGTGAGCTAGGTTTTGGAACAATTGGAGGTTTTACTATTTATGTTAAAATTGTATTAAATTGATAATTCCATTGATTATCATATTAACTTATGAATGTTATTGCTATATTACTTGATAAAATTGATGATCTAGATGTGAATTGCTTGAGGGATGTGTAAACCTTTATTTTGTTAGACTTATCTGTTGAGTATGTGATATGGAATTGTGTATGTGATATGGAATTGTGATATGAGATGAGATGTTGTATGGACATGATTAAGAATGTGATTGCGATGTGTTTCCTCACACTAATGACTAGGGATGGCACGGCCCCTGGGTAAGTGGTGCTACAGGGAGGGCGTGACCCTAGCATGGTGTGGGATGAGTAAGACAGTTAACACACACCACTTATGTCGATTATGGCAGCCCTGGCATAGGGTTAATTGCAAGAGATTGTATGGATTGTAATGTGATTGTGGATCCTCACACTCATGCTTCAGGGACGAGCGTACTCCTGGATGATCAGGGATGATACGAACCCTGGGTAGGTGATGCTTCAGGGACGAGCGTACTCCTGGATGATCAGGGATGATACGAACCCTGGGTAGGTGATGCTTCAGGGACGAGCGTACTCCTTAATGATCAGGGATGATACGAACCCTGGGTAGGTGATGCTTCAGGGACGAGCGTACTCCTGAATGATCAGGGATGATACGAACCCTGGGTAGGTGATGCTTCAGGGACGAGCGTACTCCTGGATGATCAGGGATGATACGAACCCTGGGTAGGTGATGCTTCAGGGACGAGCGTACTCCTGGATGATCAGGGATGATACGAACCCTGGGTAGGTGATGCTTCAGGGACGAGCGTACTCCTTAATGACTAGGGATGGCACGGCCCCTGGGTAAGTGATGCTACAGGGAGGGCGTGACCCTGGTTTGGTGTGGGAGGCAATTAACCCGTATCACTTGTGTCAGATGTGGCAAGGTCTTGGCATAGTGTTAATTGTAAGATTGGCTTGAATTATGGATGTGGAAATGATATTGTTAATCGTAAAATTGTGTGGATTGTGATGGATTGATAAATTATTATACATGCTTGTATATATATGAATTATGATGAGATTTCATTATGATGTGGTTGTATGTACTTTGCATATAGATATTTTCTTTTCTCATCGTATAAATTGTGGATGTTTTAGGTGAGGAAGATCCAACTTTGAGTGACATCTAGGATGCCAACAGTTGAATTGTGATTGCGCTCTGATATTGTGACATCGGGGAAGAGAATTCTAGGATATAGATTTTTATATGTATTTGGAGTTATACATTGTCTTTTGAAAACAATTAGTAACTCTTAAATTTTACCTTCCAAGTTGTATTTCTAGTTATTTTAGAAAGAAGAGTTATGAAGTTTTATGTGAACCCTTTTACCAACGTTAAAAAATTTTATTCTTTAGTTTATTTACATGATTAATATTTATATATGTGTTGGGGTAGTAAGGGTGTCACATTTAGTGGTATCAGAGCAGGTCGATCCAATCGGCCGTGAGTTATGAGTCTACTATGCTTGTTTGGTAGATTAATAATGTGATGAGTTGATTGTTGAACTTATTGATGTGCTAATGTGATGATTGATTATGTTGTTGTTTATTTATTTGTGTGCATTGTGTTCTCAGGATTTGTCTGATAGACATGATATAATTTGATGATGTTATTTTTGATTACTCTTTGTTATTCTCATGATTGCTTATTTGTTTGATACTTCTTGCTTACGTAAGAAGTAGTGGTTGAGTAGTATCACTCGTATGGTGAGCATATGTACCAATAGTACGGACAAAGCCTTGATAATCAACTAGAAATTTTTGAGACCTTAGATTTGGGTGAGACATTGATTTGTCAAGGGTTTATGGTTAATGGAATTTAGGAATCTATAGCAGTAGAGATTGAATCCAAGGAGGTTGTATCTGAGAATTGG